ACTATCCCCATCTTCGTCAAGCCACAGTCATGTTGGGCTTTCTGACCAAGGAACATGGTTTAGGGGTTGTGTGTTGGAACTGGGGGAGACTATAATACAGGACCCTTGTGAGTATCTCAGCTGAGATTGGGTGGTTACCCAGGGTTCCAGTGTAGGATCAGGGTCTGTGCACTGGGCATTCACAGAGGGTTTCAGCCAGTTGTAGTGTACCACAATAGATAGCTCAAATAGCACCTGATGGCTGAAAAGACATCATTAAATTTTCTGTGTAATTTTTGACACTGCACCTTCATTCTAGTCTGGTCTTGTAACATGATTTTGCTTTTAGCTGTTTTGAAAAACCTTGCAGCACCTTGATAGAGACTGGCAGAGAAAAACTGAAAAAAAGGAGTTTAAATATTGTGGAAATTTCACCTCTCCCTATTGAAAAAATTAAGGTGGTGACAGTATCAGGACACTGACTTGCACAAAACAGTAGTTAGTTTTAAGATTAAGGCTTTAGATAAACAGTAATTAGTGATAGTTTAAAGTTAGAAATTCAAAATAGGGGACACAATAATCCTCTGTGAAAGACACAGGGTTAGGGTATGGAAAGTTCCCACAATTCCTAGAGAAGAGCTTTGCTATCTAAAAATAGATCAGAGGGAGGAGCTCTACCCAAGATGGCATCAAAGGGAGGAGCTTAGCTATCTATAGGTATGATGTAATAGGAATGATCTAGAAATATGATAAGTACAGGAAGCTGATTGGCTGAGCCAGGCTAATACATTATGTTAATGAGCAGACCTTGCAAGAGCAGCCAGTACAGGAGCTCCTCACTTAACGTTGTAGTTATGTTCCTGAAAAATGTGACGTTAAGCGAATCCAATTTCCCCATAAGAATTAAAATAAATGAGGGGGTTAGGTTCTAGGGAAATTTTTTTCACCAGACAAAAGTCTATATTATATATATACAAACACACACACAGTATAAGTTTTAAACAAACAATTTAATACTGGTACATAGCGACAATGATTGTCAAGCTTGGTTGAGGTGGTGGAGTCAAGAGGGTGGGACATTTCCCAGGGAACGCCTTACTGCTAAATGAACTAGCAATTGACTGAGCCCTCAATGGTTAACTCTCACACTCTACAAGGCAGCAGAGGAGAGAGGGGAGACAGAGACAGAAACACACCCTGTGTGTGAGTGAAAAAAATGCACATTTCCCCTTCAAGTAGCTGACCCCAGGCTTCAGTACACTGCCTTGTTAATTAAATCAGCTTGCTGAGACCACAGCTTCTGCCTAGAAGCTCCCTCCATTGTGTGTCCCCCCTGCTCTATGGAGATGGGGTGATCAGGGGGAAGAGGGAGACACCCTGGCATTAGCCCCGCTCTTCCCTCCTCCCCCCCCATAGTAAGAAGGAGTCTCTGGGAGTGGCTCCAAGGCAAAGAGGGCAGGAGCAGCACATGGCAGTGGGGGGAGGGACCGCTGCTGCACAGAGAATTTAGGGGAGCGGGGAGCTGATGGGGGGCTGGTGGTCCACCCTGGTTCCAACCACCGACCAGCTAGCTGCAATGGGCTGCTCTTCCTGCAAGCAGTGGACAAAGCAGGCGGCAGCCAAGCGACGTTAGAAGGGAGCATTTCGCAAAATTAAACGAGCATGTTCCTTAATTGATCAGCAACTTAACATTGACTTTAAGTGAGGAGTTCCTGGAGGTAAGGCTGACAGCAGGCTTAGTCATGGAGTTTTGGCGGTTTGTGAAGATCAGAAGCCTCAAGAAGCAGTGAGAACAGCAGCTGAGACAACTGCAACAGCATCTTGAGAAGATTGCAGAAAGCAGCTACCTGCAGAAGCAGCGGCAGCAGAATCTTCCAGAGGGCAGCAGCTTTAGAATTCAGTAGCTACAGAAGCCTCTAAGGCAGCAGAAACCAAGGCTACCGAGACAGCCTGAAGAAGACATCGCTGCAGCCCCAACAGCATCTCCTTCCTTTTGTGACAGAGCAGGATGACCTTTAGGGACCATATCAGAGGGCTTTACAAAAAGTAGAAGTAAGTGTGATTTTTGTCTCTCGTAAAAATGAATGATTGGGCATGCCTGTCAGTAAAGCTGGATGCCTGTGTCTGAGTGAGATCCACCCCACCCATCCCGCATGACCGGCTGATCACCGCTCACAGGATGTTAGTGTTAAGCAAATGATTTAATTAAATCTGTAACATTGAAATATGACAGGTTTCAGAGGAACAGCCGTGTTAGTCTGTATTCGCAAAAAGAAAAGGAGTACTTGTGGCACCTTAGAGACTAACCAATTTATTTGAGCATGAGCTTTCGTGAGCCACAGCTCACTTCATCAGATGTATACCGTGGAAACTGCAGCAGACTATATATACACACAGAGAATATGAAACAATACCTCCTCCCACCCCACTGTCCTGCTGGTAATAGCTTATCTAAAGTGATCATCAAGTTGGGCCACTTTGGATGGGCTAGCACCAGCAGGAGAGTGAATTTGTGTGGGGGGGTGGAGGGTGAGAAAACCTGGATTTGTGCTGGAAATGGCCCACCTGTTGATCACTTTAGATAAGCTATTACCAGCAGGACAGTGGGGTGGGAGGAGGTATTGTTTCATATTCTCTGTGTGTATATAAAGTCTGCTGCAGTTTCCACGGTATACATCTGATGAAGTGAGCTGTAGCTCACGAAAGCTCATGCTCAAATAAATTGGTTAGTCTCTAAGGTGCCACAAGTACTCCTTTTCTTTTTGCGAACATTGAAATAGTCTCTTTTACATGCATGTAAAGGTCATGCATACTACATTAAATTAAACAACACTATCGGATTATAACATTAACACTAAGGCCTTTGTGTATGCAGGGTCTGTATATGCCTATTACAGTGTAACTGCTATATGGTCTGTATGTCCTGTGTATTCTGTGGTGTTGTTTTTTTAATTTTGTTTCTCTGCTTTATTATATGACTCTTCAAATGTAATTCTATTGTGTTTTACTATGTTTTATGTATTCTTTCTTGCTTTATTAGATACACTGTTAACTACTCATTTCTTCTAAATAAATATTATTTTGTTTTTGAAGAATTACTGCTTGTGTTGTCCATCTTTGAGCAAAAGGCTGTATCCGTGTCCTTCCAAGGGTTAGCAAGATTAGCTTGCTCTTGCACTACTACCTTATTGCCCCTTTGGATAAAGCAAATGTCTGGGAACTCCTGTCCTAAGGTAGCATGTGCCTGCACCTGTTTCTCTTTGGGTTGTGCAGGGGACCCCCCTTTGCTTGCATGGAGCCTGAAGCCCCGACACAAAAACCTAAACAAGTTCTAAGACCATTTATATAAAAGACTATTCGGCATGGAAATGGGTTCAGAGCAACAGACTAAACGGGTATGGGGGACTTAAGAGAATTCAACAGCAACAGTGAAACAGTAAAAGGAAAAAAAAATCCCAATGGCATAATTTCTTTCTCCACCTCTGGAGGTGCTCAATTGCCCCCCCTTCCCTGCCCCCCGTTGGTGGGCCTGGTGTTCACCTCCAGCCCCAGTCTTGCAGTGTCCATCACAGTCCTGTTCCTTGGGTTCACACACACTCGCAGCCAGAATAACACAGTCCTTCCACCACGGCTCTTCCCCCCACCCCCTATACACACATTCCTGCCAAGATGGTGCTCCTCCCAACTGTTGATTCTCATAGCTGCCATCTGCTGGGTTATTACACTTCTTTCTTTAGCATCCTGCACCCTGAGGTGCATAGGGCATCCACTAGTTTCCACCATTTATTTCAGTCTTCTGCTGATATGTTCGGGCTTCTGAGTGTCATGTTGATGGATTTCACTTTTCTCTGTTGTTCTGCATGATGTTTTTCTGGGTCACCCTCCTTTTCACTTTCCAGGTAGTGTCCACATTATCACTTGCAGCGGAAGTCATATTACAGGCATCCATAAAGAGTGTCCTTATACGTCCATCAGTGTCATCTTACCATGTTTGACGCTTTAGGTGAGTTTCTTCTACAAAGAATTTCTGATGTTGCAAGAAACTTTTTCCATTGGAAATGGAAGGTTGTTTTTCATATACTACTTGTATAATATTAGGACGCTTGAGGGTTGGGGGTATAAAACAACTTGGAACAGCATAAAAATGCACCAGTATGAGAGCAAAGGGAACATGGTATTCCTTCTATTGAGAACTTGAAGACGGTAGAAAGTTGTGCCATTTCAGCTATACTAGTATAGTTGAAGTGGTGCAACCCTTCCTAATGTGGATGCAGTAATATCTGTATAAAGTTGATTCCTGTATGTGCAGGAGAATAACTCAACTGGTATAAGTGCATCCACATTAGGGCTTGTATCAGTGTACCTGTTTTAGTAAAAGTCAACTCCTCCCCCCTCCCACAACTGAAATAGTCATACTGGTAAAACTTTTACGTGTAGACCAAGTCTGAGTTAGGCTTATAGTCTAATGAGGTGATCAGGATCAAGAAAGCAAGAGACTAGAGACACAGTTAATCAATCAATAGATACCCAGGCCTACATTTAAAAAAATAGACATGCAACGTGAAGCATATGCATAAGTCCAGTATTTGCAGACTCCAATGTGTGTGCCCACATCAAGTGTTTTGTGTATACAAAAGGATGTGTTTTGTCCACACACTTTAAAACATCTGGGCCAAAAAGCTTCTGATTAGAATTGTGGGCTAGAGTTTTCAATGAAGCTGTCTGGGAGATGAATTTGGATTTATCTTCTTCTCCTGGTCCTCTGAAGGCATGTAGGAGTGTATTTAAAAAAAAAAAACAGAAATAAAAAAGGTATGTCCTATACTCAGCACCTTGCAAAACATAAATACTTATCTGATATTAAAGCTGTTAGTTTCAGCCATAGACCGCGTAAACAATTTTGCCATTACTGAATTGAAGGACTAAGTAAATTGAAGGACTAAGTAAATCCTGGATTGTGATCAAAGTTACATCAATGTGTGGGTTTGTTTGTTTGTTTTTTAATTAGTTATTGGGACTAAGTTAAACTTTGAGGAAACAATTTATTTTGCTGGCAGCTTTGAGTCCCAGCAGTTCATGAAAATTCATCTGAATTAGAAACTACTTTTAATGTTTTATTATTCACCAATAACAGCATAAAGCAAATCTTTACTTCCAAAATAGCCATTATAACTAAGTCTGTTTGATACAAGCTTTTATCTTAAAACCACTTAATCTTATGTCATTGATAAAGCCATTTGAAATCTGGTTTTGGCCACAAGGTGGTGCAGCTGCACTCATAAATAATACTCTGTATTTAGTTCTTGTTATCTCAAAGGGGCTTTCTGAACAACCTCAGAACAAACCTATCAGCTATTAGCACATGCTGTTTTTACAGACCTCAACCACAGGGATTATACAGCTTGTTTCACACAGCTTCTTGGAGGTGAGTCTTTATGTAAGGACCCCAGTTATCTTCCCTTTTTGCATCTTGCTTAGTGGCTTGTTCTAAAATAAAAGACAGGGAAGCCTTTCCCCTCCTTTGTTGTAGTATCTGTAGCTTAGGCAAGCCTTGAATGACTCTCCTCTCCAGCTGCTTTCCTACAGAGCTTGCCTACCCTGCTCCCCAACTCCCTTTTCCGGTAAGGGGCTTAATGTTCATTGGGACCTGCCCTCTGATGTATCCCCATAACTGAGGACAGTTGGATGGAATTTTGACCCACTCTGCTTTGAATGCTGATCTTGGGTCCCTATCAAAATATTCTGGGGGAAAAAATCAAATACAGAATTTTCTTCATTGTTAACATTTTGTTCTTGATGGCGGATCTTTCAGGGTCTGAATTTCCCTCATCAAGCTGTTAGGGTTGTGCAGAGGAGCTCCACATTGTGAGAATCCCTGCTGGCAGCTGGGACTGGGACAGAGTTTTGGAGTCATGCACTTGTGGCATTCTGTGGGTATTCATCTGCAGGGCCTCATTCCAATATATGGGTTTTTCTACGCAAGACCCTCTGATTTTTGTGAGGTACCAATTTGCAATCCTGTAGCATATGGAAGCTTTGGCAGCATCATGAACTGAGTGAAAAAAGCTAGGTGTATAATGATGAGTTAAATACAGAGAGGGTATGAAAGTATTTATTTCAATAGTGTGCTCAGTAACTGAAATGTTTTTCAGTTTGCTTTACATGGACACCGAAACCTTGGGGCTTGTCCACATGGTGCATTAGACTACACCAGAGGGGTGTAAATTCTAGTGTGCACTAATGTGTTGTGTGCTAACTGGCCCGTGTGAACCCTGCTGGTGTGCACTAAAAGTTCCCTAGTGTGCGTTAATGTTGTACTATTTGATGTGGACTGACAAAAACACCTCAGTTTGATGTGAGATGATGTATTTAAATAAAATAAAATAACCAAGGGCCCAATTTTGCACCCAGCCTAAGTCAATGTCACTTACTTCAGTGGGTCCAGGATCACAACCTGAATATGCGCTGTGAACTAGACAGATGTGGGCCAAAGGCAGAAATTCAGCTCCACAGCTTGGTGCTGTTCTGATTTAGGGGGTTGATTGTGCCCATTATGGGGATTAGGAGTGAGTAGCCTAAGTCAGACTCACCGCTTTGTGCACTTTTTAAACATCCCCACATGGGACAAATTGAGAAGATAATTGATTGAGCACAAGGTGATTAACCAGTTAAAGTGATTCAGCTTGTCAGCAGAGGACAGTGAAAAGGGAAGGGGGTGGGGTAGGCAAGGCTGGAAGGAAAGGCCAGGAAAACCAAGCCCTTTGTCTGGGCAGAAGGTAAAAGCCTCATATTGATAGGGACAAGGACTTGTATAGCATATGGTAAAAATAAAGCTCATGGTGGTGTCCTTGGCAGGGGAGTGTGTAAGGACTGTTTACAGAGAAGGATCCAGGGTGAGGGAACCCTTCCCTATAACGGCTGTTTGCAAAATATGTGTGGACCTGGGTTCCAATTTCTACCCTTCTCATCTCAAAAGAGTTTGGGGGTCATATGTGGGGTTTAAATTCAGGTAAATCTTTTAGTATGAATTATAGAAAAATACAACACTTTGACCTGATTAATGTGTAGCTACGGGTGTCGAGGCAGAGCTACCATTGCTTTGATTTACAAAATGGTAAAATGACAATTCTTGAAAATGTACGGGGTGAAGCAGCACAGAAAATCCTACTCCAACCTTTTCTCCTGTTTCTAGTGTTCAGGGATATCACACTAGTTTGTTTCTACTTACCATTCATATAATACAGTGCGGGTTTTTTAGTATATTAATGATTGCCTTGCCCTGTAACTAGTCATCAATTTACAAAATTAGTCTCCAGTATAGGTGGGCTAATGATACAGATCTACCTGCTCTGACTCTGTAGTGCACTTCGTTGCTTCTGGATTGAGAGGGATTTCCTTCTGGAGTGCTTGTGACCATGTTTGGTGTGATGTCACTAAATGGGTGGGGTAAAGTCTTACAAAAGCAGCACAACCACAGCAGCCTCAGCCAGCATCAACATGAACTGCAGCGTGCTTCACAGAGAGCTGCCCAGCTACGGAATGGAAAAGAGGCTAGACCCAGTCACTCTGCAGCCTTTCTGGGACTTTGTTAAAGCAAAGGAGCCACTGATCCAGTCACCTTACTTTCCAGTGCTGTTTTCGTTTACAGCTTACATGACTTTCTGTCTTCCTTACATTGCACTGGACTTCTTAAGCACTAAAGTACCAGCCGTGAGAAAATACAAAATCCAGCCTCTGATTTATCCAACTCTGGGAATGATGGTACCTTGTATGGTTCAATGTGTCTATCATCACGTTGTCTTTATCTTCCCAGTGACAGTTGCTCATTGGTACTGGAGACCAGTGGATTTACCAGCAATGGCTCCAGAGTTGCCGAGGGTCCTGCTGGATGTAACTGTTTGCCTGCTTCTCTTTGACTTCCAGTATTTTCTGTGGCATTTGCTTCATCATAAGGTGCCTTGGCTCTACAAGACTTTTCACAAGGTTCATCATAAGCATGTATCTACGTTTGCTCTTACCACACAGTACTCAAGTGTTTGGGAGTTACTTTCACTGGGATTTTTTGCTGCCATAAATCCAGTGTTGCTGAAATGCCATCCTTTGACAGAAATGATTTTCTTCCTTGTTAATATCTGGCTGTCAGTGGAGGATCATTCAGGCTATGAACTTCCATGGTCAACAAACAGACTGATACCATTTGGCCTGTATGGAGGAGCTCCGCATCACGATCTCCATCACCTGAAGTTCAGATGTAACTATGCTCCTTACTTCACCCACTGGGACAGACTATTTGGATCACTTGCTCACGCACATTCACAACAATAACAGGGAATTCGTCTGTTACCTAGCTAATTTTGTACAGCTAATAAATTAAAAGAAGAGTATAATTTTTTCCCGAGCCACAGATATAAAATGTGAAATCATTTATAACAAATCTAATTTAATGTTTGTATATATATTTATGGAATTGCATATGTAAGGTCTGTTACTACGTGTTTGGAAACAATGTCACATTATAAGGAAAGCATTAAGAAACACTCACTGCCTTCTTTCCTTTGACTATGCCAGCTTTTATAAAGCATATTGTGTTACTGTGTTTTATACATACAGAGACAAATATTTTCTTACTGTTATAGGATGACTTGTGATATGAATAGAACCAATGCACATAGTGTGCATTAAGAATTCCAAGAAAATATCTTATTTAAAAAAGGTTGCTGCTGGATGGCATTAAATGTCTAATCTGATTCTGTTTGTTCTTTGCAATAATTTGGATCCTTATATTGCATACCCCAGTATACTCTATTTTTTTAAGTGGAAAATAAATCTTTATATTTGTTTAAAACTACGTTTTGCTTTCTTATATTTTGGTCCTTAGTCCTCAGAAAATGTATGATTCTGTCTATATGCAGTATTGTTGTTGGTCCGAGGATCTTAGAGAGACAAGAGGGGCCGAGGTAATATCTTCTATTGGTACAATGTCCTGTTGAAGAGCTTGAAAGCTTGTCTCTCTCACCAGCGGAAGTTGGTCCAGGAAAAGATATTACCTCACCCACCTTGTCTCTCTGATTCTGTCTGCACAGTTTGGGGTTTGTTTCGATTTCAGAGGCAGGAGTTTTCTTATTAAAATATTTAGGTTCATGTAGACAAATACATATGCTGAATATCAGAATAGGACCGTTTGCTTGTCCTCCAAAATAAAGCACTAGTCAAGAGAGTTTATTAAATAATTTTCAGTTTTTGATGATACAAAGAAAGGTAGAATTTGGTCTAAAAATCTGGGCCAAATTCCACTCATATTGATTTTGAGTTTGAATAATTTCCACTGTATTATGATGTACGTGAGAGTAGAATGACCCTTTCATAGGCGTCTGACTTGAAATTCCTGTAACTGTCCTCCAACCAAATTACTTGTTGTTGACTTGCAAAAACCTGGCTAGGAATCAGACTGGAATTCCCACAAAACTGAGGAATTTTTTCATTATTTTCATGAATCTCGGAGGGCATTGGTTGAAGCACAACAAGCTTTAAGGCTTGTTAGAGCTGTAACAGGGCTTCTTCTCTGCCTTGGTGGGTCCCGCGCTTCCTTCTAGTGGTGGGTCAGGATCAGGTCTTGTGTCTCAGAATTTTCCCCCAGTTTATAGTTGGTGGGGAAATTCTTTCTCCAAGCAGCCTTCCCGTTTCTGGGCCTGCTAGGCTCTCACTGCTTCACTGAGGCTTCTGGCCTCCTTGGCGGACATCCAGTGAGAAGAAAAGGCAGGAGGGGGTGGTCCCACCCTCTACTCCGGGCCCCAAACCAGGGACCCTACAAGTAGCAGCCTCATGCTGCCAGTTCCCAGGAAAAGCTGCTAGCTTCCCTGGGTTACTTCCCCACACCCCTTGGCTTATTGTCCCCACTTTGCCTGAGCGGGGTTCCTCCCGACCCTCCTGCCGGGGAAAGAATAACCCCTAGTCTCTGGTAACCCTTCTGGGCGTGACAGCACCACAGCAAATGCACAGCTCAGTCTCTCCCCTCTAGAAGGGTCCTTTTCTTCAGGTCTTTGGACCTGGAAGGGTCCCTAGCTCCTGTTTAGGGTAGGGTTTCTCCCCAATCTCTATACCTGTGGGGTTCTTCCCTGATCCTTGTCAGCTTCTGCACTGCTCAGCTCGCCCCCACAACGTCTATCACCCCACGACTGTCTGGGGAAGGCTTTTAACCTGTTCTGGAAGATTCTTAATTGGCTCCAGGTGTCCTAATTAACCTGGAATAACCCCAGCTCAGTTACTGGGGAAGAGGGACCTGCTTATCCTGAGGCTAATATACCTTCCCTCCGGCACTCCCCTGTAGCAGTCTGGCCTGACCCTGTCACAGAACATAGTTATCGATAACATTGTCAGGATAGTCCGGAAATAAAAGGCTCATAGAAGAATGTAAACATACAAGTCTGGGGCAGATCCCATGCTCCTCTCTCAGCAAAATCCCTAGTGACTTCACTGGGAGTTCTATTAGTGAAGTAGGAGAGCATTGGTCCTCTGACTGCAAATCCTGAAAAGCTCCTGCTCTGGATTTCTAGTAAACCCAACCTGGAATAAAGGCCTTTGTTGCTGTTTGAGACTGTCAGGTTGTATGGTAAAGGTGGCAGCACACTTTTGGAAATATTTGCGGGAGGGGCAGAAGGCTTGGAGGGAAGCCATATGACATTCTTAGTAGCTGCTTGGGGCGATTGTTTTGCTCATGAAATATCTCCATATAAAAATCTATGAAACATGACAGTTTTGTTACCCTTAAAAGATGTTAACCCAAAATCACATTTTTGTTTTTAAAAGGGACTAAATAAGCTTAGATTTTTTTAAAAGAATATAACCAGCTGATGTGTTCACTGACTAAGCAGAAATAAAGACCCATCTAATCTGCCTGATTATAATAATCTTAAATATTGTGGGATGCAGGGCAAGGAAAGGAAGTGTTCTCTTTTATGGCAAATGAGAGACAAATTATAATCTCTGATTTCTCTTTAACCAGTATATCAGCTTTGAAGTAATGCAAGGCTCAAAACTCAACCCTTAAACTCAGGAAAAATTTCCACTGACTTCAGATGGCCAAATTCTTAACTTCTAGTGGTGGTGTTCAGTGGCTTCAATGGGAGTTCGGTATTATACTTGACATATGATGATGTGATCTTGTCAGATCTCCGTGCTAAACAAGGTTAAGCCAAGCCAATACTTGGATAGTATCTCTGTTTAAAAATAAAAACAAAAACCTATGAACAGATGCTACAGGAAATGAGACTGGTAATTCTGTAAGTGCTCTCTTTGAATTAATACTGAGTTAATGCTAGAGTTCAGTGAGGTCTCTGCTAGTGGAGGTGCTGTGTTTTGCCCACTAGGTTAGGGTTGCCAGGTGTCTGGTTTTTGAGTGGAACATCTGGTCAAATAGGGAACCTGGCAGTATCCAGTCAGCTGCTAAAAGCTGTAACCGGCCTCTGCTACTGGGGGATGGGAAGAGCAGCAGTTGCTGCTGGAGCTTGGAGGAGCAGCTCTGTTTAGTAGCCGCTGCTCTTCCCATTCCCCATTCTGATGAAGAGAGCTGACTGGCTCGTGGACCGGGCTCCAGAGTAGGTACTGGTGCCGTCTAGAGGGGGACAAGGGGGGATCCTGTCTGCCCCCCTGGCTTGCTGTGCCTCCCAGCCCCTCGCTACGGGGACCCCCCACTGTGCCCTGATTTCCCCACCCCAGCCCCTCACTCAGGGGACTGACTCCTGCTGTGCCCTGATTGGGCAGGGAGGCAGGCTCTGCATCAGTTCCTCCCAGCCCAGCTCTGCAGGCAGCAGGTGAATCCTGGGGGATGGGAGAGCGAGTGACAGGGGTAGGGGTAGAAAGTGAGCAATGGACGGGGAAGGCAGGTGGGGCAGGGGGCCGGGGTGTTTGGTTTTCAGGGATTATAAAGTTGGCAACCCTATTAATGAGCTGCAAGAGTAGGGGTGTTAAGCAAAGTATTCTAGGCAAATGCTAAGTGATCAGCCTTTCTGCTACCACCAGTGGAGAGGATGGCCATCGGATAGTCATTTCTCACACCCCACTGGGCCTCTGTCTGTTGAGCCATCTTCACAATTCCAAACCTCAGAGCAACTTCAAATAGCTTCTACATTTTATTTTTAAAATCCATCTGTTTGCACTTGTGACTGGTGGCTGAGCTTTGTGACTTTGTCCTCACCTACAACCATTTCAGATTTGGGGACAACCTATACCTTCAAGTCAGCGGCACTGCTATGGGTACCCGCATGGCCCCACAGTATGCCAACGTTTTTATGGCTGACTTAGAACAATGCTTCCTCAGCTCCCATCCCCTAGCACCCATCCTCTACTTATGCTACACTGATGACATCTTCATCATGTGAACCAACGGGAAGGAGGCCCTTGAAGAATTCCACCTGGATTTCAACGATTTCCACCCCACCATCAACCTCAGCCTGGACCAGTCCACACAAGAGATCCACTTCCTGGACACTACAGTGCAAATAAGCAATGGTCACATAAACACCACGCTATACCGGAAACCTACTGACCGCTATACTTACCTACATGCCTCCAGCTTCCATCCAGGACACATCACACGATCCATTGTCTACAGCCAAGCCTTAAGATACAACCGCATTTGCTCCAATTCCTCAGACAGAGACAAACACCTAGAAGATCTCTATCAAGCATTCTTAAAAGTACAATACTCACCTGGGGAAGTGAGGAAACAGATTGACAGAGCAAGACTGGTACCCAAAAATCACCTACTACAGGGCAGGCCCAACAAGGAAAATAACAGAACACCACTGGCTATCACATACAGCCCCCAGCTAAAACTTCTCCAGCATATCATCAACAATCTACAACCTATCCTGGAAAATGATCCCCCACTCTCACAAGCCTTGGGAGGCAGGCCAATCCTCAGGCAGCCACCCAACCTGAAGCAAATACTCACCAGCAACTACACATCACACCACAGAAACACTAACCCAGGAACCAATCCCTGCAACAAACCCCGTTGTCTTCTCTGTCCCCATGTCTACTCTAATGACACCATCATAGGACCCAAGCACACCAGCTACACCATCAGAGGCTCATTCACTTGCACATCTATTAATGTTATATATGCCATCATGTGCCAGCAATGCCCCTCTGCCATGTACATTGGCCAAACTGGACAGTCTCTATGTTAAAGGATAAATGGATGCAAATCAGACATCAGGAATGGTAACATACAAAAGCCAGTAGGATAACACTTCAATGTTCCTGGACGCTCAATAACAGATTTAAAAGTAGCCATACTTCAACAAAAAAAACTCCAAAAACAGACTTCTAAGAAACTGCTGAGCTACAATTCATTTGCAAACTTAACACCATCAATTTGGGCTTGAATAGGGACTGGGAGTGGTTGGCTCACTACAAAAGCAATTTTTCCTCTCTCAGTATTGACGCCTCCTCATCTATTATTGGGAGTGGACTACGTCCACCCTGACTAAATTGGCCTTCAACATTGGTTCTCCACTTGTAAGGTAACTCCCTTCTCTTCATGTGTCAATATATATTTATGCCTGTATCTGTAATTTTCACTCCATGCATCTGAAGAAGTGGGTTTTTTACTCACAAAAGCTTATGCCCAAATAAATGTTAGTCTTCAAGGTGCCACCGGACTTCTTGTTGTTTTTACAGGGTCAATGTTTTTTTTTCTCCCATGAACATCATGGAGAGGTGACTTGATCTCAGATGACTTGCCCCTTAAAACATAAAGGGCCTGTTCATCCATTCACAGATCCATTAAGCAATCAAACAGGAATCACTCTCTCCACCCCA